CCCGCCCACCCCCCCCCCCCTTGCCCCTGAACTTTGTCCTTCAGGTCCCTCCTCTGCTGATTGACAGCAGGCAGTGGGTGGGTGCTACTGCAATTTGAAATAGCCAATAGCAGGCCACTGCCTGTTGTGTTTACATTCAGCTGCCTCAGCTGGCAGCTGTCATTCCCCAGCTAAAGCTTTGATGTGAAAAGGGGTCTATTATATAATGTTACTTTAAAAAGAACCTCTCATCTCCAATGTGCTAACACATAGGGCCTTGTGAGCTCCCCCCTTGTGGTCTTGTGATAGCAAAGAAAAAATTAAGCAAAGAAAAATTAAGCAAAGAAAGTTGAATAAAAGAAAAATCTATTTAAAGTGACATTAAAAAGGATAATCCCCCCCCCATGATAATATCAGCTAGAGCTGCAGCTAACGATTATTTTCAAAATCGATTAGTTAGCCGATTATTAAGTTCGATTAATCGGTTAATCGGATAAACAATAAAATACATTTTAAAAAATGGCTCCAGTGATGGGACTACTAGTTTGTATTGAGATTGAAGTCCATCACAGGAGCAAGCTTGGAGCGGTGGAAGTAAAAAAAATTTTAAAAAGTGTGGTGCACAATATAGTGAAATGGAAAGTGTAAAATTATACAGCAATGAATGCAGAATGGCACCGGCTATAGAGGAGCACAACAAATCCCAGCAATAGTACATTATAGCTGGTGGTATTCTGCATTGCGCTGTATAATGTACTGTTGCTGGGTTTTGTAGTCCTCTATAGCCAGTGGTATTCGGCATTGCACCACTGTATAATGTATTATTGCTGGGATTTGTTGTAGTACTCTATAGCTAATGGAATTCTGCATTGCGATGTATAATGTATTATTGCTGGGGTTTGTAGTCCTCTATACAGCGCAGTGCAGAATATTATCCAAGTGTGCGGGTCTGGCAGCGGTGAGCGTGAGTTGGGGAGGAGGTGCGGAGTGCAGCGTGTGTGGAGCCGTGAACAGGGCCAACTGATCGGAAGCCGATTAATCGATTTATTGAAAAAGTTGACAACTTTTTCAATAATCGATTATGTTGATTAGTTGTTGCAGCCCTAATATCAGCACTTACCTTAAATGATGTCTCTTAATCCAATCTTCCTCTTCTTTCCTGGTGTTTTCCTCTGTCCCTCCAGCGGTGCGGCGGCTCTCCGATTCAGCGCTGACTCCTCTGTCCTTGCAGGCACTTCCGATCCAGCGGTGTCTGCATGCGGGTGAACGCATCCATAGACTTACCTTGCGTCTCTGCTCGTCTCCCGGCCAAGAATCCGAACTGCGCATGCGCCCGCCACAAGATCCTTTTTCGGCCGCCTGAGCAGTTTCGGATTCTCGGGCGGGAGTGTGCAGCGAAAACAAGGTAAGTTTAAACCGCTGTTTAAGCGTTTTTTTTGCTTGATAGCAGTAGATACAGGCAAAAAAAAAAAAAAAACGGAGGGTTTAGAACCCCTTCAAGTCCCCTGCCCCTGTGAATGCGCGCATACTAACGGAAACACAAGTTGGGTGGACCTACATGCGAAAATGACAATTGCCCTACACGTCAGGTATCTGCGTGCGCGCCAATTAAAACTGTAATTGAAAATTACAACCGTTGTTGAAAATACAGTTGTTAGTTTAAAATAAAATCAAGCTCCTGACTTTTTTAGCTGGCTCCTAAAATCAAATCAAATTTGTCAAGCCCTGCAGTAACATATTTTTAACCTGACATAACAATAGAAAACATTCTCAATTTCTTTTTTATTTTTTATTGTCTTGACCATAAATAAAAAGGAAAAACAAAAACACTAATTTTCCCTTTACAAAAATCTTACATGGCAATGCTTATGAAACATCTTAATACACAAAATATTTATTTGCAAAAAGATCTGTAAAATAAAGGACACACTATTGTGAGTCACCTACTCCTGCCATGCTATACAACACAGAATATTGAAATCAGCGTAAATCTGCAGAATATGTGATCAGGCTCCATCTTGTCTACAATTTGGACTTGGGTCTCGTTCACACCTAGGGGTATTGCATATGCGCGTTTGTCACGCGTTTTTTTACCGCGATTCGCTGTAAAAAAGTTGTGCGACAAACGCGTTTCCGAAGGCTACTTGGCTGTATCCCAATGGAAACGCGCAACAAAACGGCCCAAAGTAGTACATGTACCTTTTATGGCGTGGGCCGTTTTGCAGCGCGTTAGGGACGGGCGGAAATACGCCAAGGTGGGAACGAGACCATTGACTACAATGGGATTTATATTTTTGAGCGTTTTGTAGAGCGTTCGTTGAGCGTAGAACACGCTACAAAACGTTCAGGTGTGAACGAGGGCTTACGGTGAGCATCCTCACACTGTTGACACCCCTGAACCCTTTCCCCTCCTGTCACCTCACCAAAATGATTCCCAAATTCACCTATCAGACAAAAGTAGGCAAACCCACCGCAAGTCTGGCTTCAGGTTTCAGCTACCCCAGGGCAACCTTGTATAAAGACAGATTTCATCAAATCAGTTTAGGATTAGGATTGAAAGATTCATGTTGGAGGAACACATTGGTGAAAAAGATTTTTGGTATTACATTGGAATCTGCTCGTCAAACAAATCCTTTACATTGTATTTACCTCAGACATTTTCTTCTGCAGCTCCATACGACATCGTCTTTCTTTGTTCAGCAGCCACATCTCCCAAGGAGAGAGGTGCATGTCTGCTAGAGACTGTTCAATTACCCAGGTGCCCTTTCCTTTATCCAAGGTCAGATCACTATAATAAAAAAAAAAAAGGAGTACAGCTGCTCAAACAAACATTCAGATTACACTTCATACTGGACTGCCAAAATAATGCATATGTCACATATATTTCAAGTAGTCAGAAGCTTTAATAGGAGAACTATGAGGTGAGTGATTTTCACTCAGCCTTAGGCCTTGTTCACACCAAACGCAGAGCAGATCTGCATGTGTTTCTGCACACGCAGTGCAGTGGGTTGTGTCGCGTTTGATGCGTTCCGGGCTGTTTTTGGTAAAAAAAAGTTTTAGGTTAAAATGGGCTTTCAGTGTGTTCCAGGGCGTTTTTGATGCGTTCCAGAGCAGGTAAAAAAAGGGCCTGCTGCAGCTTTTTTGCCTGCTCTGGAACGGAACGCTGCGATGTGAATTGGAGCTAAAAATACCATTGGAATACATTGGACAGTTTTGCTCCGGTCTGTAACTGCTCTTCTCCTGGAACGCGCTTGGTGTGAACAAGGCCTCATAATTTGAGCCGACCTGCGACAATGAAACTGTCACACGTCGGCTCAATAGATCGGGAAGTGAGCGAACACATACCGTCGCTCGCTCATTTCTCGATCCTGTCCCTGTAGAGAGCCGTGACTGTCACTCACGGCTCCCTGCATGGATTCCCCCCCTCCGATCCTCCAGCGCTGACTGGCGGAACGGATGGGGGAGGGGGCGGGTACTGCTGGCTCTGCCTCTAGATAGGCAGAGCCAGATGTCAATCACGCACCTGGGTGGATCTCAACAGTAATGTCGGGATCCGTCCCGGCTGCTGCAGTCTGTAGCTGTAGCTCGCGGTATACTGAGCTTTGGACCACGGGAGGACGCTGGTTTGTGTCCTCCCGTGACCCTTAGGAGAACTATGGGGAAAAACACTGACCCCATAGTTCTCCTTTAAAGTAAGCCCCTAACTGATCTCTATAGCCGCAGACACTGTGGAGCAATTGACCCTCAAATTTCACAGCAGAAGTTGTTAGGTCATTGTTTCAGCAGCTCAGCTATCCCATCTTCCTGTGCACCTGTTCTGTGTTTACATTAGAGAGTTGAA